GGATTTATACCACCAGTCCCCCGGTTCTCAGGCTTTCGACTCAGACTGAATTACACCACCAGCTTTCCTGGGTCTCTTGTTTGCAGGCAGCATATTGTGGGACTGCTCAGCCTCCATATCTGTGTGAGCCAATTTCTGACAAATCTCTTGATATATGTACACATATATACATATATCCCGTTGGTTTTGTTTCTCTGAAAAACCCTAACCTAACCAGTAATGATGAAATGAACAATTTCAAAGCACCAATTATGCATCAAGTACTGTTACTAGGATATTCTGTATGCTCTGTTCATTCAGTCATTTACTGAGTAACTAACTGAATGCCTAGTGTATGCCATGCAGTGTGCTAAACTAAGCTTGGGGACAAAAAGTCAAGTAAGATTTGACCCTGCCAGAGACTGAAAGTAATCTGCACAAAAATCCCCTAAGGACTGTTATTGTTCTCACTTCAAGGAAGAGGAATAGAGGCTCAGAGCAATTGTGGGGCTTATCTAAGGTTACACAGATAGAACATGGCAGACCTGGGTCTGAATCCGTATGTTATGCTCTTTCTTTACTACACAGCTGCTTTCTATTAACCCCAAATTCTAGAACAAATTATTTTAGCAGATGGCCATAACACACTTTGAAAAGAAGGTGGTAATCTTAGGTGCCAGTGCAAAGAAGTAGTCAAACGGAATGGCAAGCTAAACCCACCACTCTCTCTTCTGGTCTGGCAAAGCTGTAGAAATTCCATGTATCTCAGTTTTGTTCATCACTGGTCTAAACAAAATGGGAATATGTGGCCAGGATGAGGGCACAGTTGGGTGAAACATCATATGGTGAATGAGGGAGGCTGGATTGTGTTATCAATAGATAGCCAAAAAACTAGATGGTAGTGACATGTCAGTGCTCTGTCCTTGGCCTGGTCCCATTCATATATTTGTTCATTCACACACACACACACACACACACACACAGCATTTATTGAATGGTGATGAAATATAAAGGATCTATGCCAGATACAGGGGGTTTGTGGGGGAACACCAAATTGTGCCATGTAGATTTTTCTTCAGAAGGGCTTCGCATACTAGCTGTTGAGAGTGCTACTGTATGACAGCTTTCAACTATTCACACTTCAGGCTCTGCCTCAGCTGCAGAGAGCGACCTGGCCCAAGGTCACACCTCTTCTTAGCCTGCCCATATCAAAGTACTGATTGATGTAATAGTATGAGGGTTATTAATCTCAGCCAAACTCAGGTCTGACCTGAAGGGTCATTCCACCTCTGGAGCTCCTTCGTGTGCTCAGCTCAGCTTAGCTTAGCTTAACTTCTCCCTATGCCCACCGGTGTTGTAAACAAGGTCACTCCTTAATAAACATCCTGCACATTATACTTAAACTTGGAGTTGGAATCAGTCTGTTTCATGGAAAACCCATTGATAAAATAAGGTGCGTTGTACTTTGTTCATCCTCTAAAGAGCAAAACTACAACCAAAGACAAAAGTTACATGGAGACAGCATTTTGGATTTAATAACTTTCTTTCAAAAGTGAAACAGCCTGCTTCAAAAAACACTAAATGCTGTAAGACAGATGGAACACTATTACTCTTGGAAGAGTCTTTATCAACCAAAAACATAGGTATTTTAATTAAATTTGTTTTTGTTCATCCTGCTGCTGGCTATCATATAGTACAGCAGCACTGGTATTTAGATATTAGTGATTAGAAATTTGTAAAAGAAAATTTCCTAGATTCTGGGAATAATCTGAAGGTAAATAGGAAAGTAATTTCCTTTCCTGCCTGAATTTCAAAAGCAATATGAAATTATTTAAGGCATAGTGGCAGAAACTGTCACTGTCTACACCAGTATGCAATATCTAAAAGCTCATTTGTCTGTTAGTCAAAATTTGTCAATTTTAGCTTGTTACATGGCTATCTAGCCAAAGACTACATTTCCCAGACTCCCTTTCAGCTAATGTGGCCATGTGACTAAAATATGTACAATGAGATCTGAGTGGTGGTGATGGGTGCAACTTCTGGTTAAAGCAGCAGTTCTCAACCTGTGGGTCGCGACCCCTTTGGGGGTCGAACGACCCTTTCACGGGGGTTGCCTAAAATCATCGGGAAACACATATATAATTACATATTGTTTCTGTGATTAATCACTATGCTTTAATTATGTTCAATTTGTAACAATGAAATTGGGGGTCACCACAACATGAGGAACTGTATTAAAGGGTCGCGGCATTAGAAAGGTTGAGAACCACTGGGTTAAAGGCTTAAAGGAAACCACTTGACTTTTATTTTCTATTTCCTCCATCCCAAGGTTGGAACATAGAGGTGATTGATGGTGGTAAGGCAGCAGCACCCTAGAAAAGTGGAGCAATAATACAAAAAGTCCTTGAATGATCCCTGGAGTAGGACTTTATTACCTATCTGGACTATTTACCAACTTTGACTTTTATGTGGGAGAGAAATAAATCATATATTTTGTTTAAGTCATTACCATTTTGGTCTCTGTTAAAACAGCTCTACCAATATTATAACTTATACAGAAGCCAAATCAACAACTAAAACCTGGGTGATGTTCAGTCTTTGCCCTAGCAGCATGCTATTTTCCAGGAAATTGCAACATAAGAATAGAAATTAACATCCTTTATCTATGAGTTTAATCTTAAAATTCCTCAAAAGAAATAGAAACCAGAAATCCAACATAAGTCATTGTTATGAATAGCTTACCATTAGGAATTTCTTCTATTTCTAATAGTGTAATGATGGATGCTTTTGTAGCCAAGAACCATAGACTAAAAGAAATATTCTGATGTATCATTAACTGGTATAGGTTCTATTTCTCTTTTTACACCAGAATTAAGTATAGATATATAAATGGTCTGACTGTTTTGGTGGAAACATCTCAAGTTGTACAAATTATTTGCCATTTTTATCATGGTACTAAGTGAATTACAGAAGGTTACCTATCTGTTTTTGGAGATAATGTACTGGATATGTGAAATATAGGTATATATGGATTATCGAGATGTGTATTAGGATTCTAAAGCCAAAAAACTGTTTCAGTTACAATGTCCCTTTATACTTATGTATATCCAGAAACATGCTTATCTTTTCCTAAAGTAGCAATAACAGCTCATTCTCCTATACTAAATATAAAAAGTCACAGATATTTGCAAATCATAGTGGCAGAGCCAGGTTCTCACATTAGAGGGAACAAGCTGGGGGTGCAGGGATGGTGGTGGTAGGGGGACCCAAGGGTCTTTTGATTTGTGGTGTTGCTGCTATGCAGAAACAGTCTACCCCTGTGATTACTTTTTCTCAGTGTCTCCATTTTAAGTTTACACTGCTTTCCCTAACATCTTTTCATCAGAGTCCTAACCACATCCTGCCAATATATCACCTTTAAAATAGGTGTTGGGAGGGCTCAGAGGAAGCAGCCCCTCTTCCTGCTGAATCCTCAGCAGCATTTCTGGTTGGAGGAATAACCAGCAGATGACTGGGAGATACATATTCTTCCTGATAAAGGGCATTTCTTCTTACCGAGATTCCACTAGCTTTCAGCAAATATCTACCATGTGTCTGGCAATTCTAGTAAGTTTTCTTTCATGTAAATTTGTTCATTTAATCCTGTAAACTTATCTTTTGCACTTATCTCAGGAAGCTTCCAAATGCCCAGTAAGTTTATTACAACCCACAGAGAAGAGGATATAAACTGGTTTCAGGCAGTTAAATACATTTTTATAATTAATAAAAAAAGGTTCAGTAAGTGAGAAATGATTTGAAAGATGTCAACTGAAAAGTGAAAATGTGTGCATTTAAAATGCTCCCATTACTAGAAATCACTAGTATTACAGACCAATATGTAAGTGAAAATCTGTATCTTCCATGCAGAAGAGAGAAAAGCTAATATACTTCATGCCTCCTTTTTTTAAGTTAACATATAAGTATATGATTAAAAATGACCTGAAACATCACTTGCTGTGGTTGATTACTATTAGCAATCATTTTAGCTGTCACTAACAGTAGTGAAAAAGGCCATTATAAGCACTAAGCACTGAAGAAGGTGTCATTAGAGACTTTATTCATCCCAGGCAGGCATCTATCAAAGGAGAGATGATGACAACTCCTTTGGAAAAGTTAGTTGAGATATTTCCAGAAGCATGTCAAAAGTGGTTCAACATTTATTAACTTCTTGTTTAGGGGGAATGCTGTAGGGAGATCACATCTCTCTGAAGAAGATGCCAAGAACATATCAGCTGCTAGTTTGAGAGCCTTCAGCTGCTCTTCACAGCTATTTTTAGAAAACAACTGTATCATTTATCAAACACCACAGAGAAAATACTGTAAATGTTGGAACTTAAGAAATTTAATAGATGGGAATTGGAGGAAGTATAAATTGTGGGGAAAAAATACCAATTTGAATAATACAAATAAGACATACCTGTATTTGAGGTGTCTAAAAGGTAAGAGTACTTAAGACAATTTGATAATAAAATATAATAAAGATTATGAGGTTTAAAATAATTTTAGACAATATTAGACTACTATATTTTTGAAGCATAACAATGAGATGTTTTTAAAGAAAATTAATTTTCTTGGTTTTCTTCCCAGGAGTTCCTATGTGCTATGTCATAAAAATAGATAGTAAGATATGTTTTTAAATAAATATCATTATTAGTAAGTATGTAAACTTTATATTGTTTTCAATTGCTGCAGAAGTAAGTCTGGATAATTTTTTTTTCTTCTTTTGAAAATGCTTGCAGGAAAGTAAGTAAAAAGGAAATATGGCCCTATGCATTTTTACTATTTTGAAAAGCATAAGAAATGCAATATAAAATGAGCATAACTTTCAAAAGCCAGAATAAGCTGTTTAAGGGTTCTAGAGTTCATAAAATGGGGACCATAGGCAGCCTTCAGCGTAAGAAGGATCTGCTCTACTTAATGCTCATGGGCAGAACACAGCTCTTTGTCCAACCTCACCCAAGCTTGACATAAAAACCACTCACCACTGGTGATGGGGAAAGTGCAATGTTGCCTATCGATGCCTTCAATTCATCTACAGTTGCAGCGTTCTTAAGAATGTCTTTAGATTGCAGTGGCTTAATCTTGATATTAAATTTCTTGTGTGATTCTTCTTCCTCTTCTGATTCACTTGAAGAATAAAAGTGCTTTCCTTTGGTAGGTAGGACACAGTTAAAGATACATAACTCTTTACTGGGAGGCAGTGATGAGTATAAGACAAGAGTGATTGCACATAGTGGTGGCAAAAGTATCCTTAAGAAGGTAGAAAATCAAAGCAAGACAAACAAATAAAAGAATAAGTCAGGCTCTATCCGGTTTGGCTCAGTGGATAGAGCATCTCCCTGAAAACCAAAGGGTCCCGGGTTTGATCGGTTACAGTCTCCCAAGCATCACTGAGGGCACATGCAGGAGGCAACCAATCGATGTCTCTCTCACATTGATGTTTCTCTCTCTCTCTGTCTCTCTCCCTCCTCCCCACTCTTTCTGAAAATCAATGGAAAAATGTTCTCAGGTGAGGATTAACAAAAATAAAAAAATAAAAAGAGTAAATTAGGAAGGGGTTAGAATTTATTCATCTTTCCCTGGGACAAGATTAAGGATGGTGAATTTCAAGGAGCAATAGTTATAATGTCCTACATTTTTGCTGCAGTAAGCCATTTGGTGTGTCACTCTCAGCACACACACTGCTGAGCCTTCTACGGAGAGAGGAAAATCATTTTAATGGACGATTTGTAATGAGTTTTAAGTGCTTCAGAGTGTGGCCTGTTCTGCCCAGAGATGATCTGTGGGGAGAGCACAGTAACAGGTATTTGCCAGTCATGATAAATGACACTTTCACATCAGGCTTTAGCAGACAACCTAGTATCCACAATGTGCACAATTGTTTTTCAGCACATTTTTCTCTTTCTCTTCTCTCTCTCTTCTATGAATAGAGTGAGGCAAAATGCCTGCTTGTTAGTGATCAGCCTGTTCTCTGTGCTGTTTATTCATCTCTAATATTATGGACAACAAGGCTTGGGAAGCTAGGGTTATTTCAACACCTTTTTAAAACCTGAATTTATAATACTGCTTTATGAGAAAAAATAAAAAATAAAGAAAGAAAGGATATAGCCGGGTTCCTCGGGTCTGATGCTGTAGCCTTCTTCATCCAGCTCGGGTGAGTTCTATAAAATACAAGTGAACATAATGCAATTACTATCCTGACAATAATCAAAGAATTATTCATTTTCCTTCTAGAGCCTTCTACTTAAGGATCTAAACATGTCTCTTATTTTTGAAGGTAAGGATTTTAACTTTTGGAAGTGAATGCTGGGCAGTATATATATATAGATATTTATTCAAGGAAATGTGGGGAGTCTTTCTATTGGGAAAACAAACTAGGAGTCAACAACTGTCAATGAAAGGAAACATTCAGAAAGAATTTACCATGCATTTTCTATAAGCCAAGGACTTTGCTCAGCAACATGAAGGGATATAAAATGGAAATTACTTGTCCTTTGGAAAATTGAAATGTATTTCTCAGGCAAAAAATAAAAACAAAAATACAAAATACAAAACACAAGACATCAATGATAGGAGTGTGAAGGAAGAGGAAATTAGTGAGGTTTGAAAGAATCAGGAATCTGCATGTGCTTTTGGGGATAGAGGGGTGTACAGAAGGGACTCACTGGTGAGGAAGAGTCTGTATTCAGACCTCCAAGGTAGAGGGGTGTACAGAAGGGACTCACTGGTGAGGAAGAGACCTCCAAGGCTGAAACAGATAACCTTATTCAGATGACATGACTGGAAAGGAAGCTGTACAGTGAGAGGCAATGGGAAATAGGACCATGGGTGGCCAACATGCTGGGGGAAGAGTTCATACTTGATATAGTTACTGCAGCTTCTCATTTAGGGGAGGTCATGCCGGAAGCAGCATCTCAAGGTGTTTGGGAAGCACACTTCAGGATAGACTGGGCACAGAAGGAAATGGAGGGAAAAAAAACTAATTCAAAATACTTGCATCATGCCCATAAGATGTGCTGATAATATAGACAAAGTTGGTGGTGGTGGGAAGGGATGAATCAAGGACATTTGGAAGGACAAACTGCTAATCTTATTAACAGATTTATCATAGGAGAAAAAGGAGAGGGAAGGTTCAGGAAAACACTAGGATTTCTACCCTCAAATCCTGGGAGACTGCTGGTACGCCTGGCTGAACTAATTGTAACAGCAGACAACTAATATTTTTGGAAAAAGACAGGAAAGAGAAAAGACAGTTTGCATGATTAGAATTAGTTATTATATTTTACTTCCTATTATAAGGTAAGTACTATGACCTACACTTTATTTCATTGAACCTTCATAACAATCATATGTGGAATTATTCTATTTACCAAGAAGGAAACTAAGAGAAATTAGATGCCATTTCTCAAGGAACTCACACAGCAAATGGCAGAACCACTCCTTGACCCCAGATGTTTGAGACTATAGCCTACACTGTAGAGGGGAAGAAGGTGAAGAAGAGTTCAATAATGACCCTTTTGAAATTGAAGTAATAGGCCTGCAAGTCAGAGAGAACAGAGCTGGAGAGAGATTTTGGAGTCACTGAAACAATGAAAGTGCCATGACCAGGGGGAGAGAAGATGGCCTGAATGCATTCTGTCCTTCTTCATTACTTAGCTTACTTTCTTTTTTTCTTTTTTTAAATAAAAGTATATTAAGATCACTTACCTGCTAAAAATGTATCTGTGGCTTCTCACTGCACTCAGAATAAAAGCCCATGCCCAGCTGGTGTGACTCAGTGGTTGAGCATCGACCCATGCACCAAGAAGTCCCCAGTTCAATTCCCAGTCAGGCACATGCCCAAGTTGCGGGCTCGATCCCCAGTAGGGGACTTGTAGGAGGCAGCTGCTCAATGTTTATGTTTCTCTCTCATCATTGATGTTTCTATCTCTCTCCCTTTCCCTTCCTCTCTAATATCAATATCAATAAAAACTTTTTTTTTTTAATATAAAGTGAAGTGCCTCTGTGTAGCCCACAAGCTCCTGCATGACCTGGCTCGGGATCCTCTCTCTAGCCTCAGGTTTGAGATTCTCTTTTCTGATCCCCCTCAGCCACAAGGCCTTCTTCCCATTCTATGGTAAGTACTATGACCCATTGTTAACTTATGATATGAATGCTGCAAGTTTTTTTCTTTTTCCATTTCAGGGTCCTTATAAATGCCATTCTCTCTGCCTGAAATTATCTTTTTTTTAAAAAAAATATATTTTTATTGATTTCAGAAAGGAAGTGAGAGGGAAATAGAAACATCAATCATGAGAGAGAATCATTGATCGGCTGCCACCTGCATGCCCCACACTGGGGATCGAGCCCAAAACCCGGGCATGTGCTCTGACTAGGAATTGAACATGACCTCCTGGTTCATAGGTCCATGCTCAACCACTGAGCCATGCTGGCCAGATTGCCTGGAATTATCTTTCCTCAAATGTTCATCCAGTTAATCTCAATTTATACTTTAGTGTAGGAGTAGGGACCTTTTTTTCTGCCAAGGGCCATTTGGATATTTATAACATCATTTGAGGGCCATACAAAATTATCAACTTAAAAATTAGCCTGCTATATTTGGTCAAACATTTAATGAATTCACCCCTAATGCCTTGGCAGGGCCAGACTAAATTATTGGGTGGGCCTTAGAGGGCCCCCCAGCTGGATGTTCCCCACCCCTGCTTTAGGGCTTCCCTTTATTAAAGGTCAAATCCTCCGTAAGGCTGTCTCTGCTCTTACCCTCTCCCTGCCAAAAGCAAGATGATAGAATGTATTAAGAATAAAACCCTTCTCATTACTTAGAGAAAGTTGTATCTAATGTATAATTATAATAGCAATTCCTGTGTGGCCTTATTAGTTTTTAGGACTAACAACATTTGAGGAAAATTATGCTTCAATTAAGCACTTGCATGTTGACCAGGGACAGCACTGGAGTTTAGGATTTGTGTGTTAGATGTGAGGGGGTAGTGCTTGATGAGTAATTTGGTATTTTAATTATCATACTTGTTTATTTAGAGTATCACATCCATGCATATTTAAGAATCCTAGAAAATATAACAAGAGTCTTTCTAGGTAAAAAAAATTTTTAAAAATCACCCTTTCTTAATATCTCATATCTTCCCTTACAACACTATTTTGAGCAAATAATTAGTTTATTGAATCCTTGCAATAATCTTGCAAAGTAACTATTGACTTAATTTTTGCTGGACAGCAAATTACTATCCCAAAACCACATACAGATGACTTGTGGAGAGGCTAGGTCTTGAACCCATATCTAACAGCCTTTACTGCTCTTAGCCTGTCTACCATGTTAGTCGTGCCAGGCACTTTCTGACGAGATGGCATGCTTCACTTATTTCTATGTCATATTTTAAATACAAGAATGCCTCAACTCATTTTCAAGTTCTGAAATACTTAGCAAAGAAAAAAACATTTTCTGATACTCACGTATCTTTCCCAATCAATTTCTGCATAAAATCCATTTGGTGCCCCATTGCTTTTCTTCTGTAATAAATGTGAAAATAAATTTAGAAGAGGAACATTTGAATGAAACAAAAAAGGAATAAAGAAACTTAACTCTTATCTTTATTTAACAAGAGCTATCAATACCCAGGACTGGAAGGACAAATCAGAGCAGCCTACTAAGCAGCCACATTAGTGTAACCAAATGGTAAACTGAGTTGCTGTGACACTGCCTAATAGAGCTTCCGTACTTACTGTACAAAAGGCTGTAGAATACTTAAGCATAGAATATTCACTACTAACTGTTCAAATTTTATTCAATTACTAAAGAATTAGAAGCATCTACATTATAATTTAATTCTCTATACCTTCAGGGGATAAAAACAGATATATATATATATTTAAATGGAAACATTTTGACTTCCATGTTGCTCTCATATACAATCAGTTCCAACAATATCCAAAGAGTATTCATCTAAGTCATTAACTAATTTTTTAGCTTTTCTAATACTAACTTATTTTTTTCCTAACCATCCCCTTGATAGACTACAAAGGAAATCAGCTTCAAATTAGTTAATTCAGCTCCTAGGTATTAAAAATGGTGTTGATATTCTTTACAAGTGGCTTTAAAAAACAAATTACTAAAATAGAATAATAGGATTCATCATGGACTTTTCTGTCATCCATGTGTCCTATGCCTCCAGAAACACACATCATTGCAAAATGAATGGAAATCAGCATTATTCTCTCTAGATTATTTGAAAGTTCTATTTTGACTCCTAGCACAACCATGATATATGGCCACAAACACTTGAGCAAGAATGTGGCCTTATCCAAAGAGAAATTACTAGGATTCTCTACTTTTTGTGAGCAGAAGGCAAAAACACAAATCAAGTTGGTGATGGAGGGTTCATTCAACAGCATTCGGGTATGTAGCACATAGAGCAATGGTATGTCACTGGGCACAAGCAGATCTCAGAACAACACAAAATAAACGGTGACATGTGAGGCTTGAAGACAGAACCTCTAATTCTGCAATCACAAATGAAGGCGAGTTGGACCACAATGTGAACAGTTAACACTCAATTTGACAAATAGGCAGGAGAAGTAAGCTTTTCATGTTTACATGTAGGACCACTAGAAAACCAAATTAGAGGTAACCAACATCATTGGTTAATACTTACTGAATGTTGCCTGGGAACTCTAAGAACCCACAATAGCTTAGTAAGGGTGAACACGCATAAGGGATAGATAATATGTTCAAGTCCTCTCTCTTCCTTAGGACTGCCACTGTACTAGAATTTATAAATGCAAGAACTATGCCAATGTTTTCACTGACCAGAACCCAAGAACACAGGCCCTGTGCCCCTCTTCCTTTTTCCTGCTCCTAAAAAATATTATATACTCAGACTACATCATTTTAACTTTTCCACATAATTGCCTTCATTGAATTAGTGCTTTACTGATATTCTTTCTACTTTGAGCAAAGGTTGTTCTAAAAACCTGTCACATCAACTCTGCACCTGTATAAGCTATAAAGCTATTGCTGAAGACACGGTTCATTAAATTATGAGCCAACTAATAATAAAAAAATCTCTTCCATGGGGAATGGGCATTGTTCCTCTTTTCTTTTTATTATGTTTGCTTTCTTTTTTAATTTGTACTTTGCCAATCTGTTTGCATATGCCTTCTTTGCAAAATTCTCCAAATCCTTCTTAGAAAGCACGTATAATAAATTTAATATACAAACTTAACTTTTATAATAATGGAAATAAAATGGTCAAAGTTGATCCAAAAGAACTAAACTCATGAATTTTGTAATCAGTATAATACTACCATTGATAGACCTTTTAGTTATTAAACAATTCTTCAATACATAGGATTGTTATCTAAAAACTGATGAGATTAGTTAAATTACTGAGTTCAAAATTTTCAGTTCTATAGTTTGCCTCTATGATAATTTCATTTCTATTACCAATGCTTTTCTATCACCAATCCCAGTTTCTATGGAAACCAATGGAAGATTGAGATGAGAAGAAAGCAAAACTTATAAAATTTTTTTCTTTTAAAATAGGAACATTTTAATCACAAATACTATACATAAACAAAAAAATCATAACAATACATTCTTTTGGGAAGATATTCAACACACACACACACACAGAGAGAGAGAGAGAGAGAGCGCTTTATTAGAAGAATCTGGCCTCATTCATGCTAGTGAATTCTTACAAATATATTTGGTTTCACAAATGGAAATTATCAAGTTACTGATAAAGATTCTTCTTGTAAACCCCAAGAAAGAAACAATTCTCTTGGTTTAACCACTTAAGCAAGTGCAGCTCATAGTGATAATAAGTGAAGGTAATGGCTCTATTGATTTTCATTTGGAAAACGTTGTAGAAGCAAGGAAGAAGATAAGTGGGGAAATATTTAAAAACTAGGCTTAATAGTACAAGCAACAATGGCTACTCAGCATTATATAAAGAGTCGTTTTTTCCTTCGAGTTGGAGTTATACATTATTTTACTTTTTTCTTTTGTGTGTTTTCCAAACTTCTACACTTTGCATAAGTAACTTTTATTACGTGAGTATATAAATGTTATTTAAAGATAATTGAGGCTCGTATCAATGTTACTCTTATCTTAATAGGCATTTTACTTTGGTCAGGCTTATTATCTGTTCTCAGATAATATGATGGGCTAAATCAATAAATGTGACAACAATTGTGTTTAGTTATACATTTATCAAAGTTCTCAGTTTCCACCAAGAGTGCTCCTGTTTTCCTAGGTCAGCTCATGGCCACATAGAAGTCGTCAGGTGAGAAATGTTAAAGACACAGGTTGTACTGCCTAAATATTATCTTTTTGCCACTGAGATGGACTTGACTCATTTTGCAAATAATCCTGTGGGACAGCACTGTCCAATAGAACTGTCCGTGAAGATGGAAAGGTTCTAGATGTGTGCTGTCCAATATCATAGCCACCAACCATAAGTGGCTCTGGAATACTGGAAATGTGGCAGCGTGATTGAGAAACTGAACTGTAAATAGGCTACCATATTGAACAACACTGCTATAGTTGTTCCCTCACCTAGGCCAAGATCAGCATCCCTGAGTCAACATCCTTTGGTCAAGGGCAGTGTTCCCACAAGCCACAGTCCTGCCAAATTCCTAATGTTACTGAGATAATGCTTTTCCTAAAAAATGATTACTCAGTTTGTATACCATGCTTATATTGGAGCCAAAGATTTCTTATAAATAAATTCTTTTTAAAATCTGAATACCTTTCCTTTGTCTCAGATAAAGGAAACACATTTTTTTTGCCTTGTCACTCTTTTAAAAAAAATATGCTTATATTGATTTTGAGAGAGAGAGAAAGGGAGAAGGAGATAGAGAAACATGGATCAGCTGCCTCCCATATGCATCCCGACCGGGGAACAAGCCCGCAAGCTGTGCATGTGCCCTGACCAGGAAGGGAACTGGCAACCTTTTGGTGCACAGGACCATGCTCGACCAACTGAGCCACACCAGCCAGGGATGCCTGTTCACTCTTTAAAAGTATATTCAGACATCAGCATATAGAATCTACATGGTTGATTTAAACATTGGCTCCACGTTTTCAAAAAATAATTTGGAAATAACTAAAAAAGACTCTTCTTAATTGGAGTAAATAAATGCTACTCTTTTTTTCAAGTTTCAGGTTGGGATTTTACTTACTGTTTCTACAAACCCTTGGAAATTTTAAACTAAAATCTGTTTCCTTACCGAAACTTTTTTTCCTCCTTCACGCGCACACTCTGCTTTGTTATTGTAGGGTGGTTCATGTGGGCTGGGCTGCTGGAATTGATTGTTTTCATGTAGAAAAAGTTGTTAAAGGATCTGTTTGTTCTTTAAGACACATATAAAGAATCACATGGAGTCAGCAAACATACCATAGAAGAAACAATTTCTAGGCCAAATTGTAGGGCCTACCAATCTTGGCAGGGTTCCTTAAACAAAGAGCGGACTTTGGGGCCCATAATGAGGCTCTATTCAGCAGGCCAGTGTAGCTAGGTCAGGAGAAGAGAGAAGAGGAAGAAACACCCCAGGCAGGAGAGACTGTGTGGATGTAGTCCTCATTCAGCCAGCACTTAGTTTACAGGCAGAGAACAGACACCAGGACACACTAAGACTGAACAGAAATGGATGTACTGCTAATCAAAGGATGAAAATTTAGCTCCATTATACTTTACCCTGGACCTAAGCCTTCCTGAGGGTCATCAGTACATATAGCACACACAGTTGACAGCTCCAAATCTGGGCCTTTCCTGTACACCTGCTCGGGATGAGCAGAGACGATGCCCTCAGGCCATGTGTAGGTGGAAATCTGCACTGTTTAGGAAAAAGTTAAAGTGTAGCCTGCATGGTTAGAGTTTGTCTCTGGGTTAGAATGCATTGTAACACACAGCTGCCGGAAATCTCAGACACCAGGACAAACAGTTCTGTAGGGGACAGGTACATTCGGCCACGTGGGGAGCAAGACGAGCCCACCTTCCTACATGGAACCTTGCCACAAAGCCTCTGTATATTAAACTGCAAAAGCATTGTCACCAGAGATGGGCGTCACCGGATTTTGAGGAACTGAAATAAGCTCAAATACATTAAGCCTATTGTGTAGCGCTGCGTTGACAAGCCATTTATAAGCATGCACCATCACCTATAGTTTATATAACTACACCAGTGAAACCATAAATTTCCACTTCAGACACCCAGAGACAATAATTTGGAAGCTAACTCAGCCACGTAAAAGTGGACTAGGTCCACAGATGCAAGGTCTTAATCAATCTGAATCAGAAAATCAGGTTGAGGTCTCTAAGGACCAGATGCAGACAGAAACTTGGACCCCTAGGGCCCTGGTATGATAAGGAGTTTTCAAATTCGGTGACCACAGTTAGTGGGGAAACTTGGGTAACGTTTCCAAATAGTACAACTAGCAGCTTGTACAACCTACGAAGCTGCGCATCCTGTTTCAGAGAACATGTATTTATTTAGAATGTAGCCTTTTTCAAGTGGGTCTGCATTATTTCCTGAGAAATCGAAATTAAATAATTCCCCTTTCCTAATAATCAGGGAGACTTACGGTATTTCCAATGAAGAAACAAAGAGGGCACAGGTACTAATAAATAACTTTATATGACTTAGAATGTGGTGGGACAGGAGCACTCAGGGAACTCCAGTACAAAGCCCTGAGCTGGAGTGGACAAGTCCACAGAATCACGGCCAGGCTCATTAATGCAGCCTGGACTCATAGTTGCCCACACCATGCCAGTGCCGTACCAGGCACCTGGGTGCATAGTCCACCAGAGATTTAAACTGGTGGTCCCTGGAAGAGCAGAGAACACTGAGGTAGCCATGGGGTCTCACAGACAATGAGCTGGTGGGTGGGAGGGACTTCAGAAAAAGGAAAAAGGACAAGACTGAGGGTGGCAGAGGGAAAGAAGCAAGAAACAGCAATCCAGCCTGGAGCAGTAGGGAGAGAAAGCAGAGAACAGCTAACGGAGCCTTGCAGGGGCCAGAACGGAGGGGACAAGAGAACCCAGGGAGGGGACCCAGACAGCAGCAAAGAGAAGACACAGTAGCAGAGAGAGAGAGAGTACCTGCGAGAGAGTTAACGAGAGGGCTCTGAGCCAGAAGCAAGAGGTGAGGAGAAGCTGAGTCTTCTGGGTCTTTTTTTTCCCCTGCTGAATAGAGCCTTGATTATAGTGTTACCCAATGTCTGGTAAATTTCAGTCTATTCTCTTAACATTTCATGGCAAGAACTACATGAATGCAAAAGGCACCCCAAAGCTAAGAACCCTGAGTCAAATGTGGGCGAAAAACTCGTGCTATAGCTGCGATTAACACCCCAATGTAGGTATATTATTATAAAGGGTGATTTTTCAAAAAAAATTTTTTTAACCACCAGGTTTATTTTTGTTCCCACTCCAGCCCAATGAGCCTAAT